GAGGGAAAGAAATTAAGGATAATTATCCTTTAAAGCTTCCTGAGATTCCCCCTTTTCCTGCCCTTCCTCTCCCAGTCCTCTTGAGTCCACCCAGCTGGAGCAGCCACGGGATCCCAACCGGATAATAAATTACCGATAAAGATGGAAAATAATTTAAAAATTCATTAATACTGATAAACCTGCAGTTCCTCGACAGTAAAATTTTCTTGGAAAAATCCAAAGGAGTGTTCTGTGCTGCAGGTGGAGCAGCTCAAGGAGGAGATCTGTGAGTACCAGAGGAGCGAGCGGCTGGGGCCAGCCCTACCGGAGGAGCCTGGAGCAGCCTCACTGCAGGTACTTCCAAGGGCTCTTTTTTGACCATTCCAGAAGAACAGGGGCTCTCTGCATTCCAGGCTCTCCGTGGGCTGGGATGCGGGGGGGGTTTGCTGCCCTGGTGAGCTCGGGTTGTGTGGCTGATGGAGCTCGTGATGGTGTTTTATTTATGAGCGACTCAGGGAGCCTTGAGCTCACGCTGGGAACACCTGGAGCTGCTGGGGAAAGTCTAGAGGAAAACATGGAGCTGCTCCCAGGGCTGGATCCCTCTGCTCTGGAGCCAGGCTGGGACAGCTGAGGAGCTTCACCTGGAGAAGAGAAACTCCAGGGAGACCTGAGAGCCCGTTCTGGGGCCTGAAGGGGCTCCAGGAGAGCTGGAGAGGGACTGGGGGCAAGGGATGGAGGGACAGGACACAGGGAATGGCTTCACATTGGAAAAATGGAGATTTGGGTGGGGTATTGGGAAGGAATTCCTGGCTGTGAGGGTGGAGAGGCCCTGGCAAAGGTTGCCCAGAGAAGCTGTGGCTGCCCCTGAATCCCTGGAAGTGTCCAAGGCCAGGTTGGACGGGGCTTGGAGCAACCTGGGCTGGTGGAAGGTGTCCCATGGCAGGGGATGGAACTGGATGGGGTTTAAGGTCCCTCCAACCCAAAACACTCTGGGATTTCCTGATTGCAATCCTAGTTTGCTGCTAACTTTGGATTTCCTCCAGGGCACTCGGGATGAAGGGAGGGCTGAAGATGAGCGTGGGGCAGGAAGAGCCTGGCCCTCCTCGGATCAGGAGGAGAGAGATCTGGGGGGTGAAACTCTCCATAAAAGGTGAGAGGTGCAGAAATCCTCCCCCTCCTGTGCTCTCAGGGGTTCCTGGGGCTGTGGGTGCCACTGCTCTGTGTTGGAGGGGGATTGAATTGTTGCATCCTTCAGAATATTCTTTGGGATTTTGTTCCTCTGCCCTCGGGTGGGAGATTTTGGTGCAGTCCCGAGGATTCTGGAGCCCTCTGGTTGTTTTTTGGACACTTCCTCCACTTTGTTGCTTTCCCAAAAGAACAGCCTTGGGCCTCTGGGGCTCTGTGCACACAAAAGTGTTGTTTCCAAACCTGTTTTGGTGCTGGGAAGTTTTCCCCTGGATTTGGTTGCTCTCCAGGGCTGCACTGGAACACTTGGCTTTCAACCTTCCATGTGTAAACTGGGAGTTTTTTAAGGGAAGTCAAAGCTTTGCTCTCCCCTGAGCTGCTCAGGGAGCTGCTGCACCTCTTCCAGCAGGTTCAGGGAGGAAAGGGAGCTGATCCCATCTCTGGGACTCTTTTTCCCTCAGATTCCCAAGCCTGTTCCCACCTCAAGCAGCTGAATTTATTGCCATCCTCATGCCTGGCCGTTTTTCTCCCAGACCTTCCTTATGTAAAGCCCATCCCCCCTAATTCCCACCTAATTAGGAACAGGCCATGCTGAATGTGAGACTGGGAATCAACAGGACAGGAATATTCCATAGTGAGGAACACCCTGGCTTTTCCTCGCTGGTGGGAAGGATTGGGATGCAGTTCTGGCCTTGCTGACGTTGGTTTTTGGGGTGTAGGTGCCGGGAGGTGATGGAAAACATGGAGGGCAGGAATTCCCAGCTCCTTCACAAGCTGCAGAAACTGGAGCAGGAGCACGAGGATTTGGTGGAGCGCAACGAGGAGCTGGAATCGATCCTGGGGGAGACTCAGATCCAAACCAAGCAGGAGAAGGAGCAGTTTGAGAGCGAGGTGGAGGGACTGCAGCAGAAGGTGAGTGAAGGATGGGGCAGACCAGGGTTGGGTTTGTTTCATTACAGCTGCTTTCTGCCCTTAGTTGATAAAATAAAATGATGTTTGACCTGGACCTGCACCCTCTGGGTTTAGTTTGATGAGGAAAACCTGCCAGTTCAGAAAAGAGGGAAAAAGGAGGAAAAAAATCTCGGCAGGGAGTAAATGGCACTTGTTTGGAAGTGCAGATTCCCCAGTGTTACAGGAGCATTGTCTTCTCCAGCTCCTGTCCCCTCTCACAGAATCCCAGACTTGTTTGGGTTGGAAAAGACCTTAAAGATGATCCATTTCCACCCCTGCCATGAGCAGGGACACCTTCCACTATCCCAGGTTTTTCCAGGCTCTGTCCAACCAGGGATTCAGGGGCAACCACAGCTTCTCTGGGCAACCTGTGCCAGGCCCTCACCACCCACACAGCCAAGAATTCCTTCCCAATACCCCACCTATCCCTGCCCTCTGGCAGTTGAGACACTGCTAATAGGACAAGTCCACTCAGGTCATCGTTTGACTTCATGGGGGGGATAGAAATCCTTTATTATTTGCATGGGACACTCTGGGAACCTTTGGGAAGCCCCAGGTGTGAAGCACCACCTGGAATATCTGCTTTGACAGATCCATGGGGCCTCCTGGCAGGACCACCTCCCTCCTTTGGGCAAGGGTTGAAGCTTCTCAGGCTGCTGCTGCTGCTTTTCTCAGGGGGGGTTTAAACCTCAGTTTTAGGGAGGGATTCTCCATCCCTCTGGAGCAGCTCTGGGAGGAGCACCAGCCCTTACACGTTGTCCCCACGGCACCTTGGATTTCTGGGATGAGATTTTAGGCCCCCCCACTTAGGTTTCAGTCAAGACTTACGTGTCCACAACATAGGAGATGGTGCAGGTGTATCCCACAGGGATGCTGGAGTAGCCACACATCCCCAAGATGGATTGTTTGAAGGAAGAGACCAGGAATTCCCTGTCAGCAGCCTCTGGCTGGGAGGGAAAAGCCTCTAAAACCAGGCTGAGGACATGTTCCAATGTCTTAATGAGGATGCCAGTGATGCCATGTTTGTCTCCTCTCTCCAAGGAGCCAAGGGCTGGCTGGCCCTGGAATGGGATGGAAAAGGGTCTGCCCACCGTGGTTGGGCTTTGTTCAACTCAGGGCTTATTCAGCTCCCACCAAACTGTTCCCCACTGGAGCAGAACAAACACAACCCTCCTCAGATCAGACTGAAGAGTTTGGACAAATCCCCTCCTTTGCTCAGTGGATCGTTAAACAGATCCCTGGGAATGTCACGGCATCGAGTAACCAAGGGGATGTGAAGTCATTTGGGCTGGATTTGAGGCTTTCAGGGCAAGGAGGAGAGCTGGGATGGAAGAGGAGGTGGGTTAACGCCTGGTTAGATCCCTCTGCTCAGACAGAGGGGGCTGAGCTGCCCCCACATCCCCAGGGGGAGGATTTGGGAGCCTCGGAGGGGAGCAGGGAAGGGCTGCACTGCTGGGGGTTTTTGTCAGCCCTGCTCCATGTGGGAAGCACTTGGGAGGTTTCCATGGGTTGACACAACTCCAAAAGCCTGGGCTGGCCAGGCTGTGACTCAGGCCCAGGGCACAGTGGGAGGATTGTTGTCCTGTTGGCACGGGACCTGTGAGCACAAAGGAAGGGCTGAAACGTTGGTGGCTTGGAGGGAAAATGAGCAAAATGATGGAAATGCCTTGCTGGGCATCAACTTCTGACCGAAGGCTGGCTGGGGGTGAGGAGGGGAGGTGTGTTTTGCCTTTGACATCTCTTTCATAACACCAAGGCCTTGCTTGAACCCTAAACTCTCACGTAGTCACGCAAGAGGAGGGGGTTTATTGCTCTTTAGCTCTTCAGTGAGAGGTCTGAATGTCTCACCCCACTTTTAATACCTGTGAACACCTTGGGTGGGTCACTTCCTTGTCTTCAAATCCCAGTATTGCAGCAGCTTTGCTGGGTCTGAGAGACCCAGCTGGGAGCTCCAGCAGGGCCAGGATGTGCTGGAGCCTGTCAGGGAGAGCAAAGCTTTGGAAATGGGAAATGGGCTGGGATTGGCAGGGAATTGGAACTGCAGGACCCATAATCCATCCCAGAGGATCCCCCCAAGAGGATCCATGTGCAGAGTGAGCACTTGTCCACACAAACACCTGCCTTCCAGGAGGAGCTTGGGGGGTCCCAAATCCCTTTGGGAGTCCTTGGAGCCCCGAGGGAGGGATTGACAACCTTTGAGCAGTGGAGGGACCAGGACAAGTCTGGTCTGAACATCTGCTTGGATAAATCAGCTGTAGACACCAGATCAGTGGTTATGGGGTCAGAACCACCTTGTGGGGGGTGTGGAGGGGGAAGAGATGGGTGGAACCACGTGGAAGTGGGGCAGTGTTGTATCCCTTGTGGCAGCAGCTGGAACCCACGTGGAGAAGCCCTGGAGCAGCTGCCAGTCCCAAAGAGATCAGGAGAACTTCCCCACCCCCCAGCTCCTGCAGCCCCTCACCCAGCTCAGGTTGGCACTGAGGACACCCCCCCTCACCCTGACCTGGAACCCCAGAGTGGCTGGTGGGTCAAAGCCCCCTGGAGGGTTTGGCCAGAGGGACCAGAGCAGATAAAACCAAGGGGATGTGTTTGCCATGTCTGGACATGTAAGAACTGTTCTTCCCCAAGATCCCAGTGGCAGCTCTATCAGCTGTCTCTCCCTCTTTCTCCTCCTTCTCTTCTTGCTCCCTCTGCTCCTCCTTATTTGCTCCTTTATTGATGCTTTATGTGGCTTGGAGCTGAAGGGATTAAATTTTAAGTGTTGTGGATGCATTGGATCTTGACTTAAATGTTGTGGACTAGCATGTGCTGAGTTGGTGTCACAGTAAACCAAGTGCCTTTATTTTTCTCTCCTAAATTAATAAAGATACCTCTTGGGAACAAGCCCATGGCTTATTCTCTTAATGCCATCTCGAGGTATTAAAGAACCCTATATATTAAATATATATATATAAAATAACATATATTATATAATAATTTATATATAATAATATATTGGTGGGGCTTAAAATTATATAAATATATAAATATATAAATATATAAATATATAAATATATAAATATATAAATATATAATATATATTTGCTATAGAAATATATTTTTTATAATCTGTATAATAGATATAATATATATTTTTATAGATATAATAAATATATATATTATCATGAATATACATTATAATATTATATATATAAATCAATTTTTTATATATATAATATTTATAAATATATATAAATATATATTTATAAGTGGGGCTTATCCTGGAACAGCAGCACAAGGAGCAGTTTAGTAGGAATTCTGCATTTAGCTGGGAGTCCTGGCTTGGTTTTAACTCATGGTTTGTCCATGTTCAGATCACCAGTTTAGAAACAGAGCTGCTTGAGGTGCAGAGGAGCAAAAATGAGACGGACAGGAAGGAGCAGGCGGCGTCTGGAGCGCAGGAGATGCAGGAGGTGAGAGCTTCCCCTCGAGAAATCAACTGTTTTTATTTAGGGATGCCTGAGGGAACGTCTTAAATGAGCATCTCAAGTGACCCTCTCCTGGGGATGCTCTTTGTCAGCACCTCCTGGGAGTTTGGAGCCCCTCAGCTCATGGAGACAGAGGGAGGGTTTTGGAGGAAAGGAGCCAAAGGGATCTCCATGAAAAGTCATCTCCCCTAGGAGCTGGTCTGGCCTTCAGCTCTGCAAGCCGACGAGTTTGTTGTGAGGGTGAAGGTGTTACCTGTGGGAAGGTTCTCACTTCTTGTTCAGGGTTCAGTGAAACCAGAGGGTCTGCAGGTACATTTAAAGCTCTTTCCCAGCAGGTCCATTTGTTCCCAACAATTGGATCTTTCTGATGTTTCAGCGAGACAGAGCTTCTTACAGGTGGGACAGGACCTTCCCAAGGGATATTGGGTCAGTGGAGGCTCCAGTCCTGCCAGCCCTGGGTGTGAGGGGCAGGAGTCCCCCTGGAAACTTTTGAGAGCCCTTTTTCCTCCTTTCTGTGTTTCCTAGAAGACACATCTCCTGCAATTTGTTTTTCTTTGGGTAGAATAAAGGATGCTGGAGAAGAGACTCCTAATGTTTCTTGTTCCAGATGTTGGAAAGCTGTCAGGAAACCATAGACAAGTTGGGAAATCAGCTGGGAGAGCGGAGGGAGAGGAGGAAGCAACTTGTGTCTGAGCTTGAGCTGCTGAGAGAGGATCTGAAGGCTGAGAAGGGGGTCCTGGGCAGCCAGGTATGTGGGACTCCCTGAACGAGCCAGTTCCCTTTGGATGCTCCATAAAATCCAACAGTGCCCCCCTAAGCACATGATTTGACTTCTCTTGGTGCTTTGCTCCAGTTTGAAACCTTTGGCAGAGGGTTTTCAATCCATCTGTTTTCATAGCATTGTCTCTAAACTCCATAATTTGTTTTTTTTCCTTCAGTGGATCTAATCCCAAACCAGTAATTCCAACTTTGCAGCCAAACCCTGATTCACTGGAGGGCAGAGTGGGAATTTGCAGACTCAGGGGGTTATTGCAGGAGTCAGAACATCCCAGAGCCACAGGAGGTGACATGAACATCCTGCTGGGATCCCAAAGCTCCTGGGATGTTCCCCAAGGACCTCAGCACACTTTGCTTGAGCCACTTTAATTGCTAAATTGACTCCTGGGGGATTCTCCCTGCTGGGAATGTTACTGGAGCTCTTGGCTTCCAGCTGGGTCACAGTTTGTGGTGCCAGCAGAACTGCCCAGGGGCTGAATAAGGGTTGGAAATCGGGCTAAAAATCCAGGAGAGCTGCAGATCCACAGCCTGGATCAGGCAGACCTGAGGGAGAGTGGAAAAGGGGGGAGTTCCATCCAGCAGAAATCCCACGGTTTAGCTCTGAGAGGCCTTAAATCAGCTCTGAGTCCGGTCCCTTCCTTGAATGCAAGTGAAAAACCATGGAATTCCTGAGCTGTTGGCACAGCTCCACAGACACAGGAGCTGCTGGAGGAACAGTGGCATCTACAGGCCAGGGCTTTGTCCTGCTGCAACAAATCTACCCTGAAAGCTGGGGTGGAAATCAGGCATGCAGAGCTCCAGATCCAAACCAATCCTGGTTTGGCAGGAGAGTGGGTGAGGAAAGGGCTGGAAAGGAATTGTTCATCCCCACGAAGGGGGGATGCTGAGGGAAATGGGAAGAGTCCTTTTGTAAGCCCTGCATCCCAACAGTTCAACCTGCTCATGGACCACTGGATCAAAATCGTCCATCCCTGGAAGTCTGGTTGGAATTCAACCACGAGCTGCTGGTGGCTTTGCCAAAGGAGGGACTGTTTTTCCAACTGGGGTGAAATGCAGAGCCCTGGGAACATCCTTTAGCACAGAGACCCTTTTTGGTGGCATTCCTGGCTTCCCACATGGGCTCATTCCCTTTGGATGGAGCAGGTGGATTGGGATGAATTGTTTCCCGACAGCGCTGGAAATGAGCTTGGCATGAGATCGTTGGGTTCTCTCAGCTGGAATGATCTTGTTTTTCACGAGGTTTTTGGACATTTGAGAGGAGAAAACTTTTCCTGAGCTTGTTCTTAAGGGTGTGTTTCATCTACTGACTCCTGCTGTTTCCTCTCCAGGGGTTTCCTGCCTCACTGTCTGAGCTCCCAGGCCACGGTAACACCTCCCCTGGTCTCCAGAGAACATCAGCCAGCAGGGATCTCATGGATGTGTCCCATGAGAAGCACAAGGACAGTGCTTTGGTAGACCCAGAGGTGAGACATGGAAAGAAATCCTGGTGGTCCAAGGGCCTGGAGCAGACAGGAGCTGCTGGGGCTCAGAGTGGATTCATCCTGGTGGAGATAAGACCACCTGGAGTTGAACTTCCAGTGCTCAAGAAGAGCTACCGGTGAAAAACCTGTAAGAATCAACGTTTTTGCTGGTGTTTAGTGGGGAGAACAGAGTCTGAAGGTTTTGGGTTCACCACTGGAGATATTAGTCCAGGCAGGTTCAGGTTCTGATCCAGCCCGGGAATTCCTGTATCCTGACACATTCCTGGTTTTTTTTGCTCCTTTTATTTTCTTTATATTCATCCTGGTGGATGGAACTGAACTTCTAGTGCTCAGGAAGAGCTATTGGTTAAAAATATTTAGGAATCAATGTTTTTGCTGGTGTTTAGTGGGGAGAGCAGTGGTTGTGTCTGATGGATTTGGGTTCTCCACTGGAGATACTGGTCCAGGCTGGTTCTGGTTCTGATCCAGAACTGGGAATTCGTATGTCCTGACACATTCCTGCTTTCCTGCCCCTTTTATTTTCTTGTCTTCTCTTCCAATCTCGGGTTTGGGGGCAGTTTTGTCTGGTGTTCCAGCATTGGGTGATGCTGTGGGTGGAGAGCAGCCACCCCTGGAGAGGATTTTGGGTGTTCTGGACAGGGGATCTCTCTGAGATCCAGCTAAATCCACGCCTTTCCCAAGAGCTGCTGGTTTTGTCAAGAGATTTGGCCCATGCTGTAAATCTCTGGGAGCTGCAGATGGGATGAAATCAAATAAAGAGCTGTGACTTGGCGGTGGTTCACACACAGCTGCTACCCCTGCAGGAGGAAGGACTCCAAGAACTGGGATAATTTAACCACAGAATCACAAGCCATGTCTTGCCAGAGCCCCCCAGATTTCCTCACACTGGCTCAAAAGGTTTCCATCAGAGCAAAGGAAATCCAAATTGCTGGTGTTTTCTGACCTTACAGGCCTCTGAAATCCTACAAGACAGAGAACAGAGTCTCAGGGGGGAGCAGACCCAGGAAGATCCCCATGGAGATGCAAAGACCTACGAGGAACAGATGGCTAAAGTTGTGTTTTTGGAAGAACAGATCAAAAGCCTGAGGGAGGAACAAGAGCTGCTCTGGTAAAGCTTCTCAAGGCCTGTGGTATTTTCTTGTCTTTGCTGTCTTAATTTCTGAGTCTTTTCCAACTCCCTGTCCTGGCAAGAACAGGCCCAGCAGCTTCATGTCCTTATGGGATCAGTGTCAGATTTTGGGGAATTCCCTCAGTGACATCAGGATCAGCCAGGAGCAAACCTTCTTCTGCAGCTATTGCAGGTTCTGAGCAGCCTAAATGAGAGCTGTCCTTAGGGGAGAGGATTTTTCCCTTGGAGTCAGGAAGTGTTTGGAGTAGGAGGGTCCAAATACTCAGACTTAATCCAAATATTTGGACTGAGAGGGTCCCAAAAAAGCTCCAGTCGTGGGTTTGGGCTCCACAGAGCCAATGTTTGCCAGCAGTGGTGATCCTCATGCTGCTGTGGATTTTGGGGGTCCTTGGAATTCACGTGTCCTTGGAGGGCAGGTGTCACCAGGTGTTGGTCTGACTCCCATTTTTGAGTAGATCAGCAGAAATTTGGAGCTGGAGCATCCGGGCTCCATAGTAAGGAAAAGTCTGGATCAGATCCAGGGTGGTTCCAGTCAGCTCAGTGGCACTGGGATAAAGGATAACCAGGATAACTTGGGCACTGGGATAAAGTACAACCAGGAGGAGGCAGGCAGGGTGTGCTAAGGAATTATGGAATCATTCTGGAAAAACCCTCTGAGATCAGCGAGCCCGACCATTCTCCCAGCACCATCAGGGCCACCACTAAACCATGTCCCCAAGGACCACATCCACAC